AATATCAGGTAAAAAACACAGAAATAGGATCAAATTGGATCGGTCATATACGATCAACGCATCGGAAAATCTGAAAAAAGCTTACACTGCTGGAGTACTTTATTACGGGAAATACATCCACCGTTCTTATTGTTTCATTGTTTAGGTTGAGGAAATTCTGCCAAGGTGGACAGCTGCCCAGTCCCTGGGTCCGTCACGGTCGAGGTAGCAGGTGCTGCCCACCTGGCAGTCAGACCACGTACTAAAATTGTTGTCTCGAAACCGGAAGCGCTTGATTTAGAATGAATGAGGCCCCGCGAGATGTGACGGACATTGTAAAACAAACAATTTACATAAACACATATTGCAGTTATCAGTGTTTTTCTAAACTTGTGAAGGGTAAGCAGACTATTGGCATGTTTACAATAGAAATGAAAAAAAACCAAACTAATTGAGTACCGATAAGTCTTTGTTTGAAATGCCGCCATCTTTGTTCAAACGTACACGCGCGAGATTGGAAAAAACTTCGTTGTTGTTTTGAAGTAAGTGTATGAAAGTAAGGTAGTAGAAATGTATACTTGCTATAGTTTTCTTGACGCATGGCAATATACTTGACAATCGAAGCTTTGGCAACAAGGATTCGGGAACTTGAGCGATCTCAACGGAAACCCAGGACAGAGAAATTGGCAGTACCCCGTCCTTGTCAGGTAGGTTTCAGATGAAATTCATTATTTTCTTCTAATCATAGCAGTCGGTTTGCATCGAATTAAACATTTTCGGTACGAACCTTTATCTTACAGTAACGGTGCGCTCGCATTTCGATTTCTCCCACAGTTATTAATGTGGAAATTGCATTTTGGTGTGAAATCTGTTAAAAACAACATTATTGTTGATACCAGCTGAACATTCCGTGAAAATATTACCAATCGACATGTGTTCATAATCCAAATGTGTGTCTCTTTTTGTTTTAGGCTATTGTGAGAAGAATCATGGAAAAGTTCGTGGAGTCCCTTGAAAATCCATTGAAAGTTACTTATTGAAGGTAAAATAACTTACCCCAAGTTTTATTATTGCTCGAAATCATAATCAAAATATATGTTGGGTTTTATAAGATTAGAGACGTCATTAATGCAAGCTAAAATTAAAATTGCCATCAACTCGTTTCTTTTCACAATTGGGTAAATCTAGCATCTAATTATTTCATTGTCAGTTATCTAGTAGTTAAGTACTAGTAGTAGAATTGACATAGCATACCATTATGTAGTGCATAATTGCTGCATAATCATGTCGATCATGTTTATAGAAAACTTCTCACACCCTTGCAGTAATGCATATACATGTAGTTGATATACCACAATTACTTCTTACTTGGTTTGATACATGGTGAATATGATAATAATCAAACTAATGAATGTTTGTCGGATTGTAATAATCTATTATTGGATGAATGAAAATTAACTCATTTGCTTTTCTTAATAGAAACCTTTTGGATAATCTGGAGGAGCAAGATGGACGATCGACGTCGGCAGATTCGAGGAAAGGAAGAAAAACACAGGAAAGATGCTAAAAGAAACAAAAAATCCGATCTGTAAGTTCCTGAAACTGGATTATATAATATCATTTGTACCGGTTTATACACTTCCTGACACCAGTTTAAGACACCCTGAGTCACTTAACTGACATGATGTGCTTCATATTATCACATCGCTATATACCTGTAATAGAATAACTTTCCTTATCACATGTCATTACCCATCACCGTAATGTGCCATTATCTAATTAGAACAAGTGCCGCTCTCAAGAATAAATGTTGGACATAACTTTCTCAGTGCAAGAACTTCATTTTTCCCCAGAAACTCCAACAGCGACTGAAGAATCTAGCTGGACAGACAAAAGAACACAGAATGTGGCTGCACTCCTAACCCCAGAATTGACATCGCCAGTGGTGTCTGACGCTCCAGAGGCAAAAATAAAGAACTCGCGACACCATCCAACAAGATGCTTTCCAACCACCTAAAGGTCTTAGGGATAGGATGGAATGTCTAAATGTACAATCAATTATCTCCTGTTTAGGTTTGTTGTTGTTTCTGAGACTAAGATTAAAAAGACATTAATGTCCCTCATGTTAAAAAATGCCAACCCCTCCATAATATTTATTTGAACAAACTACTACTCAGACAAAATTTCAAATCCATAGGGCCTGTGATGACACCATTCTCTCTCTGTGATTTGTGACAATGTTTAATTGTAACATTGAAACATAGACATGATATGTTTATGATGAATAAAGAGAAATCGACTGACTGACTGATTTTGTATTTATTTATTTCTATGTCCATGTGGTGTTGAGGTAACTGTAGTTGAAATGAGTTTATTTTATATTTGAATGTATTATGAATAAAATATATGACATAATACATTCAAATATATAATACACTCATTTCAACTACATTAATATAGTTGAATAATCATAATTTAATATTGACATATGTTAATCACTGAATACTAATAATTGAAACCAAATGGAGCCATACAGATTCTGATTTACTGAAACTTATGGAACATGGTTAATGTGATTAATAGAAACGAAAATCACAGGGAATCATAATTGAACTAAGTAAGTAAATGAAACCATTTGAAGTAGAGGATAAAGAAACCCAATGGAACCTCATAGGAATCTGGGTAACGGAAACGCACTGGAACCCTACAGGAAACTGGGTAGCGGAAACGCACTGGAGCCTTACTGGAATCTGGGTAGCGGAAATGCACTGGAGCCTTACTGGAAACTGGGTAACGGAACTGGAGCCATACTGGAAACTGGGTAACGGAAACGCACTGGAGACATACTGGAAACTGGGTAACGGAAACGCACTGGAGCCATATTGGAAACTAGGTAATTTGTAAGTTTCCGTTTTCCGGAAACTTGAAGGAAATGTAGAGAAACAGTCCGGAAACCTAATGGAAACTTAAGTTTCCATTTTGTTTCCGATTAGGTTTCCGGTGTCCGGAAACCAAGTTATTTTGCTGTGATGGGACGAACTTGATCGACGTGTCCGTAAACGTCGTCCTCGTCCTCGGGCACTTGCAGAACTTGCCAATGCTTTGCAGGAGGAATGCAGGAGAATTCCCCAAGTAAAAATCTGATGACTAGTTCAATGCCTTCCAAGGCGGTGTCGAGCAGTGACGGCTGCAAGGGGTGGTGTCACCAGGTACTGACCTGAACGCCCCTTGTGTCCACACATGTGCACTGTGTGAACTGAATTATTGCTGACAGTGATAACAATACATATCCGAATATATCAAACTTCCTTCATCGTTGTTCAAGCTAAATCGACTTATGTACACTTAAATACGTTTAGTACATTTCCTTATTTTTGGTCTGTGCGTTTCTTTCTTGGAAGAGTATATTACAGTCATCATCATTACAAACATCACATTTTTCTGGTCTATCCATCATGAGAACTAATACAGTCATTCACGTAAGAAACCAAATCAGCATCGATGATAGCATCTTGAATATTTAAAACAGATATAAAATATTCAACTCATGAAGCATAAGCAATATTTGGCGGCATATTTCTCCAATTGCTATTTGAGGTTTTACATATGCCCAAACAGATTTTGCATTACTGCTGCTAGATTGTAACGATATATCATTATTGGTCCCATGGTCCCATGGTCCCAGTAACAACACAGCTGTCTGAAACTTTGTACGAATCCTGCATTTTTCGAAACGTGAAAAACGTAATTATGAGATATTGGTCTGAATTAACGTGCATGATTGTGAAATAAATACCGATGTTGAACAGAGCAAACATACAGTAACCAAACATAACCACCCAGTATATGCCCAGACTTCAGCAAGCACAACGTGGCAGGGCGATCAGTATGGCCAATATGGGGGCTTCACAACGTCAGCTTACAAGAACCTTCAACTGCAGCCAGGCCACCATAAGCACATTGTTAAATGCTATCACCAAACCATCCCCGAAACAAATTCAAACACCCTTATATGTATAGTGTCCTCAAACAGACCTGATACATGTCGTGACCAAAATGAACTGATAGAGATTATACGGCAGTAGCTGTTGTGTTATATAATTATTGTATACACTGTTTGTTCAATGCTTGTTCATCCAGCAATAATCCAGCTGCGCTTTGTTAGTAGAGTCTGGACCAGATAATCCAGTGACTGACATCACTCACTCCACTGGTGTATCTACGCCTTCAGTGGTGTTCTGGCTGGTGTCATCACTATCCACAGAGATATAGAGGATATTATATGAATGCCGATGTCATACTATGTTAACAACACGAGTGCCTAAATGTTGGTATTTCCCGAGCGAGGCGAGGTATATACCGATATTTAGGCACGAGTGTCATAAACATAGTATGATATGGGCACGAATATAATATTCCGTTTGTTACCAAAGCCTTCTAATTGAGTAAAATTAACCCAACTCTACTTTGAAACATAGGCTGGCTACCCACTGTCGCCGCATGTAGAACACAACGTCACACAAGAAACGTGACGTCATAGTATTGCTCATAACGTCACGTCACCATGACAAAGTGATATTTTGCCCTAGGGGATCGTATATGAAAATATGAATCCCGATATTTTCGCCCGCGAAGGTAATAAAATAATGTACCACTGCTGGACTCATCAGTGTCAAGACACATGTATACAGGGTCGCATTCCTGTGGTCAGTATCTGGGTTCTGTTAAGTCGCTATAAAAGCAGCCACTATAGTTACCACTATAAAGTACATCTATAGTTACCTGGCAACCAATACAGAGCACTTGCTTTAGAGTACATACATGACACTAGACATGACATCACAAAGTGCGTCGTCATCCTGAAATTACAATGTCTGTACAAGGCAATGGCTAGATAGTAATTGCTCTAATATAAACCAGGTCGTCTCATCGTCGACTCATCATCTAAAACACATAATATTTGACAATCGATTCAATGTAGAATTCATGTATAACACACATTAATTGCTTTACATTTCTAGGTGGAACTCTCACATTGACCAGCTCTGGACAGTATGCCGTCTTAGGGAGTGAGTTCAGTTTTACCTGCACGGTTGTCGATGGCTATGTCTCGGGGTTAATTCACTTCATGAGAGGAGATGACAAGTCATTTCAAACTGTCTGCAGAGTAGACGTGAAGACCGGGAATAAAGCATCGGGGGCCAAGGAGTTCCTATGTTCAGCTGTAGACGGACAAGCACATACTTACTCTCTGACCATCAGGAATGTTTCTCGGAATGATTTCACTGTTTGGCAGTGTCTGGGAGGAGGTATGATCAGCAACAATGTTACTTTGGATGTGAAATGTAAGTATAACACAACAGCTACTGCCGTATAATCTCTATTAGCTCACATCCAGTAGGTGCTCCTGCACCTGTAGGCTGGTCAAATAAGGACACCGTGTGTCGACATAGTACGCGATTGTCTTAACCGTTGCTCATGATATGAATCATGCGGTTGTCTGTTCCAGACTCGGTTACCTACATACCGCAAACACCTTTGTGGGAAACTGGCTAACAACGGCGCTGAGTAGCAAACATTTGTTGCATGTCTCTACCCGTTTCTGTACCATCCACGTACACGAACCCCAGTCTATCACACAGTTAGTTATCCACTAAGTTATACTCCCAGGGAACCTACAGTCATAGCGTCCTCTATTGTATGCCTCTATCCGTCTCTGTACCATCCAGGTGCTGGTTAGAGCGTCTGCCTGGAGAGGAAGGTCGCGGGTTCGATCCCCGACCGCGTCATACCAATAGACGTTAAAATATGGTACTTGTTGGTCCCTGCCTGGCGCTCGGCATTAATGGGTACAACAAGGACTGGTCGCCTCGGAGTCAGTATAATGTGCCTGAGTGGGTTAAACATGCTTCACTGCGGCATGGTATCTCATTGGGCTAGCACTATGAAACCAGCTTCAGCCTGGGCTAGTACAAGCAGCCGCACATACACATACACACGCATGCACGTCGTCATATGAGCGAAATATTCTCAAGCACGACGTAAAACCCAATTTCACCTCACCTCACCATCCAGGTGCAGGTTGAAGCAGGTGGACCAGGTGCCTCATCCTTGAAACTGTACATGAACTCAAGCCAATACACAGTTGTATATCCACCAATGTATGCTATTCCTGCTACCATTTATACGTGACATCAAACGTCCGATCAAGTTCTGCACTATGTATGAGTCTGCAAGGTCAATGGGCCCTGATCTAACGAAAATTGCACCGCAGTTCTACATACTATATAATGCATACTATTTCCTGATTTATGTAAGTTGAAATATTATTGTAGATCCCCCCACAGTTGTTATACAAGCCTTGACGCCATGCCCTGGATATACTTTCCCAGTGCATGCAGATATAATACATACTATTTCCTGATCTATATAGAAGTAAATATTATTGTAGATCCCCCTACAGTTGCTATAGACGCCGTGAGTCCATGTTCCGGGTTTACTTTCCTGGTCAACGAAGCCAATGTGACTCTCAACTGTTCTGTCAAGGGAGCTAACCCTGCACCAACCACCTTCACTTGGTACCACGGAGATGTCACCCTGCAGAACGGGTCCAATCCGATCTACACCCTCGGTCGTGTGACTAGATCCAGTAGGGGTCGGTACAGATGTACGGCAGATAATGGCATATCTCCACCAGGACTGGCTAATGTGACAGTCGACGTCCACTGTAAGTACTGGGGGTGTAGACTCATTAGCTACCGCTGTGTACCAATCAAACAGGGTTACATACAATTAGCAGAGGAAAACCTGTGGACTCCTTGATATACAATTTCCTTCATGGATTTGTTCCAGGGTCAGTGGCTCCTTCCCTGATCTCTTAATACCAAAAGTCGAAGATTACAACATTCTACTTAGGGCTGGGACGGGTCCAAATTTTCAAGCCGGGTACCCCACCCCTATTACCCTACCCTACCTGGATACCCGTTATGTTAATTCCTGACATCACATTTGTAAGAAATGGCAATATGTTCTTCAGCTCGGAGGCGAACAGTTCGAGTTTGTGCAATATCTTAACCATGTATTTATTTCAAAACAAGTGGCTGTAATTATGTCTAAATCTTCAGAGACAATACAACCTTATCTTCATGGTCATCACGACAGTTTGAGCACTTTTCACACTCTTTTAAACGCGATATCTCATGAACTGTTGTACCAAACGTCTTCCAATTTGGTCAAATCCTACATTGGGGGATTACGCAGACACCAGATGATTTGGGTGGCCTTGACCTTATCTTCAAGGTCACCACGACACTTTGACAACTTTTCAAACTTATGTAAACGCGATATCTCATAAACCATTGCACCCAATGTCTTCAATTATGTCGACAGCCTACATCATTTTCCAATAAATTGATTGAACATTCATCGTAATGCTGGTCGTGTATTTGCCGCAATTTAGTATTAAAACTTTCACAAATAAGAGGTCATTCAAAAGTGCATAACGGGTCACATAAGACACGTCAGCAATAGCGAGTGTGACCATCCTGGACATCCATACACACCAACACACGTCAGCAATAGCGAGTGTGTCCATCCTGGACACCCATACACACCAACACACGTCAGCAATAGCGAGTGTGTCCATCCTGGACATCCATACACACCAACACACGTCAGCAATAGCGAGTGTGTCCATCCTGGACATCCATACACACCAACACACGTCAGCAATAGCGAGTGTGTCCATCCTGGACACCCATACACACCAACAACACACGTCAGCAATAGCGAGTGTGTCCATCCTGGACATCCATACACACCAACACACGTCAGCAATAGCGAGTGTGTCCATCCTGGACATCCATACACACCAACATATTTCTCCCCATTGACGTCGTCAGTCGGCGAATAACGTCAGCAGGAATCCTGTTCCAAGTGAATCTGTTCAAGTTTCTATCTGTTCGCTGGAGGTGGTACACGCTGCCTCAGCTGAGGATCAAGATTATCCCTGAGATGTACAATGGGGTTCGTGTCTGGAGAACGCGCTGACCAAGACAATACGTTGACGTTAACGTTGTGCAGGTATTCTCGAACATTCTGGCGGTGGGAGGCCTTGTGTTGTCGTGCTGCAAATGACTCTGTTTTTAAAGGGCGACACGCCCTGTGGCCCCATACCATGAACGCAATTTGGCTCCAGCCGGACTCCTCTACGCCGATAATTCGAACTCTGCCATCGTTTCTGAACCGACTGGACTGACTTTCATCTGTTAGGGAGCACTTTCTCCCAGTCACCTCGCTGCCACCACCGACGTACAGTTCGTGATCATTTCAGTCTGTGCTGACGGTGTAAAGGGTCAAGGCCACTCCACGGAAGGGGCTCGTATACCGGTCATACCAAGTGGTCGCAGGACTGTTCGTCTGCTGATGACATGTCTAAGTGCTGTCGCCGGCGTTGACGTCGCCGGAGGTGGATCTGCCAGATGTAACGGTCTTCGGCCAGTGTAGTGACTCTTGGTATTCCCGGTCATGGGATTTCTTGGGTCGGGCCTGTTTGCTGGTTGCGGTTTATCAATTTGCTGATGGTGGCCTGGCATCGGTTATTATGCCCCGAGGCGTGGCATGTCAAACTTGTTCCAGAACAGGCGACTGTCGGCACTTCTTAACACTACACGGAGTGGAAATGATAGTGAGTGAGTGAGTTAAAATTATAAAGTCACAGCGGCAATAACTCAGTCATATCGTGCCTATGAAACCTATTTATTGATAAAAACAAATCTTTAACGGCATGAAAACCTGTCAACAAAGGACAGTAAAAACGAGAATAAGCTTTGTAATATTTATCCCTTGTGGTGGAAAAATCAATGCAGTCAGGCGTGACAGTAACTACTTCATCACAAGGGATACAAAATGGAGGAATCTCACCTCTCAGCAAATATTAATGTGTATATCTTGAATGGCCAACAGACAACCCAAATAGGTATAACCAACAGTGGAAATGATGAGCGTCAGGTTGTCTGGCCATTTAAAGTGAACACCGCTGGCCAATCTTCTCCAATATGTCATACCTCTTGCAACTGCTACACTGCCTTTCTTCGACCATGTTAACACACCTTTTCTGGTTCAAATCCAAATATACATTCTCAAGATTACCAATGAAACAAAATCCATGTCACATTAACGTTTGTCTCTGTGTATACTTTAAAGGCAGTTGTATAATAGTTTAACAAATACTCTGCACATCCCTTCCACATTTTAGATCCACCAAGCTTGCACATTGCTGATACCAAGAGAGTGGTCAATGAATCAGGAGATTTGACTGTCCAATGTACAGCAGAAGCAAACCCGGAAGTGACGTCAGTAGTGTGGACAAAGGAAGGTGCTGGAAGGATCTCTGACAGTGGGACTCTTCATCTAAGGAACATACAGAAGAGTGCTGCAGGGGTATATGTCTGTAGAGCCACCAACGTCGTCACATCCTGCCCGGGAAGACGACAGACAAAACAACTCATCTGTAACTGTTACACTGGAGGTGCAATGTAAGTTACAACGTGTATGTGAAGTTGTATAGTTGCCCCCCGCCGGAAGTATATTTAACCAAAGGTGACAGTATGTTCAATGCCAACATTTACCTGTAACAAAAGATCTGTATTCGATACCTGCCTCCCTTCACGCCATTGAATACACAATACCCCCTTACACAACAATGATAACAGATATAAGGTAGTAAATACACAATGACCCCTTACACAACAATGATAACAGTTATAAGGTAGTAAATACACAATGCCCAGTTACACAACAATGATACATACATACATACATACATACACACATACATACATACATAATACATACATACATACATACATACATACATACATACATACATATATACATACATAAGGTATTACATACATACATGCCCCATACATACATGATAACAGACATACATACATACATACATACATACATACATACATACATACATACATACATACATACATACATACATACATACATACATACACATACATACATACATACATACATACATACATACATACATACATACATACATACATACATACATACATACATACATACATACATACATACATACATACATACATACATACATACATACATACATACATACATACATACATACATACATACATACATACATACATACATACATACATACATACATACATACATACATACATACATACATACATTTGTATAGCGCCGATATCCAGCTCAGCTCAGCTGCTCAAAGGCGCTTTGTTTTTCCCTCGTTCACTGGATGTCAATCTCAACGGCACATCGTATTGTCAATCTCAACTCCCTGGGGAGCATACAACTCTTGCAGCCACTAGGCGCACCGAGTTAATGGGGCATTCCATCCTTACGAGGTACCCATTGACAGCTGGGTGGACTGGGACACATAGTCACAGTACTTTGTCCAAGTTTACTGCACGTTGCTGTACCCGCAACTAGGTGTTTGCACGTATTCATGTGGCCACCATCTGGTCATATACCAACGGATTCGTGGGTTCTTTTAAGTGCACAGGGTTGTGTACTGTACACTAGGGGTTGTGACAACACTGAAAGAGTCTGCACACAAAGTTGACTCCAAGGTTTTTACACCCGGTCACAGGTGGGCTCGATCCCGTCACCTCAAGCTCGCTGGATCACTAGCCTGGCGCTTTAGCCAGTTCGCCCACTTACACAACAGTGATAACAGTTATAAGGTAGTAAATACACAATGCCCCTTTACACAACAATGATAACAGATATAAGGTAGTAAATACGCAATGCCCCCTTTCAGACCTGTAAGTTCGACACGACATTGCTTAGCGCTGTCTATTGTTATATACACCATATGAAGGGGAACAGGGCGTGAGAAAAGCGGATCCATATGTGAAAAAGTAAGGTTATAGCTTCTGATTTATGTAAAACATAATTCTGCTAGGTTTTCCACAATCGTTTTCTTCAAACAAACTAGTATTTGAGTACTGTACATCAATGATAATCAATGACGACGTTACCCATAATTATACGGTGGTGTTTTAGATGCGCCTCGAGTAGAACGTTTTGGTTTCACATCTGGGGCCGGAAACGCGACGGTCAGTGAACACGACAACGTGACACTGCAGTGTAACGTCACAAGTAACCCGGCTTCATCCATTGAGATCAACAACACGGCGTCCAGTATAGGAAGTAGCAGGACCAGCAACCGTGACCGTCAGACTCTCACCACGATGCTGCTAAGTGTGTCCTGCCTGGAAGGAGGAAATTACACCTGCGCTGCTAGGAACTTGATCGGAGAAGCTTCACAGACTATCCCATTACATGTCAGGTGTAAGTAACATCCAAGAAGGGTTTCTGTCTTCACTGTTCATTTTGTATTGTACATCAAAATATATGGGTCAAATGTCTTGAGACTATTTGAAAAAAATGGTTTCCTTTCACCCCATATCTCAATCATTGACTATGTTCAACCATCCTACAGAAGCCGGTATGTGTCAACGTATTTTACTGGTATATTGTTTCTGTTTCTGAGGCGGCAGAGTAGCCCAGTGGTTGAGTGGTTGACCCGGGTTCTATTCCCCACATACCTTGTGTGGACATGTCTCTGGTGTCCATGATAAAAACGGCGTTAAACCATACTTAATCACTCACTTCTGTTACAATAATTTGTTTGTATCTATGTAACTATGGGAATGAATAAAAAATAATCTTTAAAAAATGTTTAGAGACTACTTTGCCGATGGTATTTTTTCGTGAATTTAGAAAGATGTTTTCAACGATAACGTTTGGTTTGTTTTCATAAATGTGGAAAGCAAATACAGATCCTGCTGGATTAGGTTCATTGTTCCATGTATATATTTTATGTCAGTCTGTATTGTTTATTCAGGTGTTCCAAGACGATATTCATTTTCATCTGAAACACTGGTGTTCACGTCGGGTCTGCACGAAAATGTCACTCTTAGTTTGACAGTCATAGCCTTCCCGCAGCCAACCTTCACATGGCGGAGAAGGTCAAATACAAGACCAATCAGTACTACTGCGGTCACCACTGAGGGTGTCCTTGTAACAGGAAGTGTGACCATATTTGATGTCAAAGAAGAGGACTATATTAATTACACTGTCAGCGTGACCAATACAGAAGGCTACCTGGATCTGGAGATACCTCTGGTTTCTAAATGTTAGTGATTTTTCTTAAAACATCACTTTTTCCTATGTCAGAGTGAAACGTGCCTATAACTGAGTATTTGATTGGAACATGTTCGTGAAACGTGTGTAGTACAAAATGGAGAAAAGTCTCAATGTAGCTGATATTTGGTTGAAAATGGAACATTGCTTGACAGCAAAGCATCATGCGGGAGGCGGTTTCGTAGCCTAGAGGTGAAAGCGTTCGCTTGTCACGCCGAAGACCTGGTTCGATTTCCATTTCTGGTGTCTCTCCTTTGTGATTTTTGCACGAATATTGCTAGAAGCGGTGTAAAGACAAACTCACTATCTCACATCATCATGCAGCTTGAGATTAATCAAATGTGACGATAGTTAGATAGCTAATAGGCCACAAGGGATTAACTTCATTTTTAACAGTCTACCACACCGCGTCGATATTTCGTTAGAAAATGCATTTTCATCCAAAAGTGGATGTAAGCATACACTTGTCATCATATAGAGAAGGGGATATATCAGTATTTAATCAAGTGTGATGACTCTGTTCAGACATACAGTAAAGCATTATCCATCATATCCCCCGTGTTTCACAGCCCGGCCGCACCTACCAAGCAATCTGAAGGCAGTAAACATCAGTCCCCGTTCAGTCACCCTGACATGGGAGAAAGGTTTCAACGGTGGCGCCAAACAAATGTTCAACATACAATACAGACAACCTGGCGGACAGTGGACCACCCATCCAACAAGGCCAACCGAGGACGACACCCTCCAGCTGGACATTGATGACCTCGAACCCGGAACATTCTACGAAATTCGGATTAATGCTAAGAATGAATACGGCACCAGCATCTACACCTCCGCCATTGTAACCACGGATACAGGTACATTCCTTCATATAGACATTATGTTTAGCATACAGATGTTTTGGTTTGGGAATTTTTGTTTTGGGGTGGGCTAAAGAGTATTAAGCGCCAGCAGTTAATATACTATTCTCTATGATTTCTGACAGACACATGCATGTACGGGCGTGTGCGCGTGTATGTGTGTGTAACGCGTTGAATATATTTGTTTTGCAACAGAGAGACCGTTGCAAACACAACGATTCATACCTGCTTTGTAAAACCATCTAATTTTGAATTACCAAGACCAATATCTGAATACCCCATGCTCAACACAACCCGTGAGGGTGTGGTCGTGTTCACAGTGGAGGAACCTGTGACAACCCACAGGTTACAAATAACGACCACACAAAGTATCGCCCTGGCTGTGGCCTGCCAAGACTCAACACCCCGTACCACAACTCACTAGTGTTAGAGGATTGTTATTCTTGCTGTTTCCTCCTTAGTTTCGTGTGACCTTCTGGTGGCGACACCATCTGTAAGTCAACTTCAATGATGCTGTTCCTGGGTGCCTGTCTCTGCACATATATATTTACGATGTTATGTGTTTAGTCTTCACTACAAAGATATCTCAAACATTTTATTGACCATGAACGTTTTACCTCAGTGTGTATCGTGTTCGTATTTGGCCCTCATCTACCAATAACTCGTTTCTCTGTTTGAAGAATTATATTTTTTTCTCTTTTCTCACATATCTTCATTGATCACTCATGTTTTCATTTTGTGTGAAACAACCATAGAATCGGAGTTCAAATATTTTTATGTTGTACATGTGTTTAATTTTTATCAGCGTCACAGAAACTCGTTTGTTTTGTTATTTAACGTCGAACCCAGCAATATTCCAGCTATATAACGGCGATCTGTAAATATTCGCGTCTGGGCCAGACAATCCGGTTATTGGCATCGTGCGCATCAATTTATACTGACATGCATCAACCAAGTCAGCGAGCCCATCTGATCCCGTTAGCGGACTTAGCCTGGCAACTCGGGACAAATTCCTACCCTGATCTTTACGGCAGGGATATCAGCATGCGAACAAGAGCAGTGAGAGGTAGGGTTTCAATGGCTGTTGATTGTCCAATAACGACCCATGGCAGGGTGGATAATGCTTATTGTATTCACAGCGAACCCTTCTTGCGTGCCTGTCTATGTTGTGATCATCGCGTGTGTAACGTCAGTGCTCCTCACAGCGGCATTGTACAAGGCAGTGGTGGTTGGATGTAAGTATTTCACAAACTTGTTTCACATAGCTTGTTTTCTCGTTAGTTTAATTAGATTCTTCGACTTAGAAGATAAAGCTACTCTGTTTTCACTTTTGCGGTCCTTTATCGTAACGGTTGATTCTAGCACGACATTGTGTGATACTCGATTCTGATAGGCTGAGAGCTCATCAAAACCGTACTTAAATCGCAGTTTAAGACCGCTAATGAAAGTGACTGATTCACCGCGTATGAATACAATGAACGCGTTGACTCTTTTGTTTGTAAACAAACATGTCGGACATCGGCAATTTCTACATCGGCAGTTTCTACATCGGCAGCATCTTTGATGTTTTTGAAGTAAAAAGCGAATGGTTTGAACAATAATTTCTTGTCCCTAATCCCAGTGAAGAAACAACGAAGCTAGAAAATTCGTCATCAGCGCAAATGCAACAGTATTCAAACCGGGTCTAGATCTAGCTGGCATGACGTCGACAACACAAGGCGGCGCACAGGCCCTAACCTGACTGCTTCCGTCCCGGCCGTAATGCCCAGTCCTCTCACTCCCACTGTCCATATATCGCACATAAAACGCGGCATGTCAGGTCTTTTCCAAATTGGGAATAGTAGGGTGGTCATCAACAATTATTAGTTTCTGGGATTTGAGTCAAGAAATTCTTCTTCGAAACCTTTCGCGTTTTACTTCAAAAACATCAAAGATGCTGTCGAGGTAAAATCGCCGTTGTTGGACATGTTTGTTTACAAACAATAGGGTCAACGAGTTCAATGTCTTCATACGCGGTGAATCGGTCACTTTACAGTCCGTTTGGCTCAAAAAGCAGACCGATGAATTGCAATCTAACTCGAAAACTAATAAACATAACATACTTAATGAAACGCTGATCATAATCAAAACATCATACCAACTCTGTGAGGTTTTTCCAGAATTGTTTGTCCTAAAAATAAAAAGTTGTTTAACAAACTATCATTAAAATATTGACACAGTTCACTGTCTGTTACGAGGGAGGAGTGCTGAGACAGGGACAGCCAGGTGTTCGAAGCACGTTCACAGACAAAGTTATTTATTCATTAACCTGTGCTGTGACGTCTCCATCCGTTCTGGAACACAATATTCAACATTCAAAAGTGACTTAATTACACTAAGTACATACATGTCCGTTTCAGGGCCAAACGAAAGTCTTCCACCCAGCCCGCGACCACCACAGAAGCCGAGGGCAACTACGAGACTACCACAAGAGGTAGGGAAGTGACAAGTCTATTTAAACACTATCAATTGAAATTAATATAAGTTATATCCTCTCCCAATGTTGTATGTAACAGTGATTGAGTTTAGTTTTACGCCGCACTCAGAGTGAGTGAGTGAGTTAATATTTAACGTCACATCGGCAGTATTTCAGCCATATAGTGACGAGCCGCACTCAGAAATATTTGTATGTAACAAATCACAACCACAGGTTACAATATGCTCAATAATTGAAATCACATTTTTTACAACAATTTAGATAATCATTGTTTTCAGACAGAATGTCAATGTTTGAAGGATTCCGGTGAGAATATACTCTAAGATTAAGTCTGAGATTAAGAGGACCGTGTGTCCCCGGCGGTATGCGACGTTTAAAGGGTCAATCGCACTTGTTATTCATAGAGTGTGTCATACAGTTATGTACGGAATCCTTTTAGGGCCATGCGTTTTCACATATTTATTCTTGCAATTTCAATATACTAAGTTGAAATTTCAAGATAAAATAAAGCTGAAATTTCTAGAAAATGACCTTCAAATTTTAAGATAAGAAGTTGAAAATTCAAGATCTTTATCTTGATATTTGTAAATAGTATGTTGAAATTTTGAGTTACTATCTTCCGTAGTTGTGGTTAACTGACGTTTAAAGCAACAACTGTCCTGCATATTCTCATAGTTACCCCTCGGTTAATTAACAATTGCTAAGTAGAAACTGTGGATTTTCTGGAAAATATTGTTTCATGTGCCTCACAGAAGTTTCGCTCTTCCTTTCACCATCCCACGAATGCGTTTTCTTGTTTTCAGACATGAACGTGGGGAGAACGCATACCGCTCTCTGCCCCCTGTGGAAGCTGTGTACGTCAACACTAACACCAACAACCAGCCACGACCTACGTCATCAACATCGGCAGCATCACGAAAGTCACAGTCCCCAAACCCGTATTACTCAATCGTTAGCGATTCCGCTGTTTAATACACACACGCACGCACGCACGCACGCACGCACGCACGCACCTGTATTACACATTGTGTAACGACATCATCAGTATATCCTCGGCAAACGGGGTGAACTGTACGATACTAACACCGGGGATCAGCACTGACAGAGATTCTGGTAGGTCCTTCATTCTGCCCAGACGAATATCTGAACTGTATGCATGCATCGCAGACTGTCCGAGTTATTCACACATTTTTGTCCGTTTTCTCTGCAATCGCATCATCGCAATATCGCAATATTGCTCTTAATGTATGTCTCTTTATTGATGCAACATGTGCTTGGTGTTGTGTTGTGGCTGTGCTATGGCCTATAGCAACTTGCCCACTCACATCAAGAATGCTGAATCTTTGGACACATTTAAATCGTCTCTAAATACCCACTTTTTTCGTCTTGCCTATTACTAGACTTTCTATGTTCAATTGTCTCTCTGTAAATAGTTTTACCTATTTTCTTTTCTCCTATAGTATTGTCGCGCCATGAGCGGGTATTAGTACCTGGATGTAGCGCTATATAAATACCCACATTATTATTATTATTATTATTATTATTATTATAGTGTTGCACTGTATAACAATGTTGACCATGGAGTGAGTGAGTTCGTGAGCGTAGTTTTACGCAGCTTTTAGCAATATTCCAGCAATATCACGGCGGGGACACCAGAAATGGCTACACACATTGCATCCATGTGGTGAATTGAACCCAGGTCATTGGCGTGACGAACGCACGCTTTAACCACTAGGCGACCACGCCCCGAGTGCAGTGATATGCTAGGTGCTATATTTAGACTGGGAGTGAAGACTGGTTTGGAAGTTTCTAGAGCAACCGGACAATTCCAGCCAGTTAGAGAAAACTAGTGAGTGAATGAGCCAGTTTAGTTTTACGCCGTACAGCAATATTCCAGCTATATGGCGGCGGTCTGTAAATAATCGAGTCCGGACCAGACAATCCAGTGATCAACATCATGAGCATCGATCTATGCAGTTGGGATACGATGACATGTGTCAACCAAGTCAGCAAGCCTGACCACCCGATCCCGTTAGTCGCCTCTTAGGACAAGCAAGGGTTGTCAAAGATCAATTCTGACCAGATCTTCACGGTTGAGAGAAATCAAACTGAAACTTCAGGAAACCTCGCATGCACGCGTTGATGCATCACTGTTCTCTGTATTCAAAATCACTGCTTTTATGTTGTATTGTTGCTGTATTGTACTGTTATTTTTTACTGACATTGTACTTGTTTGTATTTACTTGTAACCCCAGTTTATTGTTGATCCTATCACATTTCACTGTTTGTTAGCTTCACACCAATTTCATTAAGCACAGATTTCGATATTAAAATCGTCACATATTAACTGGATAAAATAAACAAGCTTTTAGAATCTCTGCCTTCTTTATCCTCATCATTGATCCGGCATTCCTGAATGCCAGGCTCTTCTCTGAGATTGAATCACAAACAAGCAATATTTTACTGACTGACTGACAGAGTTTGGTTTTACGCCGCTTTTAGCAATATTCCAACATCACGGCGGGCGACAGCAGAAATGGCTTC